AGCCCTAAACCCCTAAAGCCCTAAACGCTAAACCCCTGAAACCCTAAACTTTAAACCTTAAACTCCTAAGCCCGAAGTTCCTAAATCTTAGAACCCTCGGTTTTCTTATAAAAATTCGAGTAAAGGCCGACCCGCAGCTCTTTGACGAATGCTCAGCGAAGCATCGAGCAGATGAGGAAGAAGAAGGTCGGCGTGAGCAGGACCGGCTCTCGAAAGGGGGTTTATGGGTTGAGGGTTTAGGATTTATAGGGGACCCTACATTGTAACTTATAGGAGCCTATAGTACGTGTTGAAAGGGAGACTATATAGTACCCTTTGAAGGGACCCTAGTATAGAACCCTATAGTACCCCTTGGAAGGGTTCCTAAAAAGCTTTCTATACGGGTTCTTGCATGTGTTCCTAAACGGCTAGCCTTTAGGGTTCTTTAGCGTAGTGTAGTTAAGGACATCAAAATCCTGCCACGTTTGATTTTGCATGCCGGATCTTACGGTCTTAATGAAGTAGATCTCTAGGGCTATTGCTTCGGTTGGGATATAGGGCTTTGCGTGCAGGGTTCAGAGTTTGGGGTTTAGCCAGGTAAGTCACATTGATGCAAAACTCAGGATAATCATGCGATTGGAAAGATACCAGTCTTAAGCAGGGTTGTGCCTGACGTCAAACAACGAGTCGGCTTCTGGATGAGGTGACACAGCAGGCAGCAAGGCGCTGGCATTAATATTTGCAGTTGCAAGATGTTATTTAAGAGTTGTAGAAGCATGCTTCTAACTGTGAAGAAGCTAATACCCAGTTCCCGAATCCCAGATCCTTCACCCAATCTACTTACATACCCTTCCTGAATCTGAACTTCAGGATATGCCACGAGCAGACCCCGATACCCTAAACCCCAAATCCCTAAACCCATAACACCTAAACCCCTAACTAACCACACCCCAAACCGCTGAACCCTAAGCCCTAAATCCTTAAATCCCCAAACTCCAACAACGCAGGCCCTGAAGGTGGCATGTACGCCTAAAGCCTAAAAAACTCGACGCCGCCCGAAGCCTGAAATTACCTGGAGGATCATAACCGGCCCCTCCCCCTTGCCTAACAGTTTTTTAGGATTTCGTGTATAGAGACGTAGGTGCCGCTACAACAGGGGTGGGTATGCCCCTCTAGGTACCCAGAGAGCCCAATACCTCTTAATTAACGAATATAGCTTAAATCATACTATGAAGCCCCTAATGGCCCTAATGATTTTAGGTATATTCCTTAATTAAGGGGTATTGGGCTCTCTGGGAAGACCCCGACGCCCCAAACCGACCATGCCGTCAGCCTTCCGCACCAGGAGCGAACACGCAAATGGCAGGTTCTCCAGGAGAATCCAGTTAGGCTTTGGGTTTAGGGGTTAGGGGTTAGGGTTTAGGGTTTAGGTTTAGCTTTAGACTTAGGCTCTATGGTTTTATTGAGGCTGCGGCCTTCAGAGTCGTAGTGGTTTGGTGGTTTTAGGGTGTTTCGGCTTGAGGCCTGTCTGTGTGTGGGGGTCGCGAAGGGTGTAAGGTGTGGGGCTCGGGGGATTGACCTTGTTGAATTCGGGTTTGGGTTCAGTTTAGGGTGTTTCGGTTCGTTCGTTGTTGTGGTTTGCGGTTCAGGTTTTCGCAAGGACAGTGTCACGTGAACCCTAAGTACTATAAACGATGTCCCACTAGTCGAGTTTTCACAGAGAGCCTTAACTGAACAGCACTGCGAATTCTATTCCTTGACCCTTAGCATGAACTCAAGAGGACATAAAAGGACTATATCGGCAATCGTAGACTTGAAATTTAGGGTTTAGGGTTCGAGGTTTCGTGCTCTAATGCTTCAATCCTAAACTTCGAATCAGGGCTGTCATTCTTGAGGTCCCCGATGCAGGCTACTCGTGGAGGAGATTTCGAAGAAAGGCGGTTCCCTGCTTATGTTCTTTAACCAAACCCCCCATGGTGGCTCAAGAGTCCAGCTGGTGATGTTTGGCAGCATGGGATTGACAGCTGAATACATAGTACTAATTAGTACTACTGTTCCTCAGCGGTCCTTACTTCAATTATGGTGTAATACATCCCGCAAACACCCTAATCTAAGTCTCCGAATCCCAATGTATCGCTCTAGCGCAAAAAAAGGTGAGGCGATTGGGCCTTGTAGTTTGGGGTTTCAGGCTTTGAGTTTTCGGTTTCGATACAGGGCTGCTGCCCTCTCAACTCAACCCCGGCCTGAACACTACAGGCTCTATATTATAATCCTAAGTAGCTCTCATAGAACCCTCATACTCATACCCTTGAAAGAGCCCTAAACCCTAGAACCCAAAATCCCAGATCCTACTCCCGCACAGAACCTCAACAAGCACTCTAAGCCCGGGCCAGTCGAATGCGGCCTTCGGAGGGATCCCTTTTCACACCTACAGGTTTCTTGTTTGGAAACTCCACAAAACCACATCCGGCACCTTACTGCATGGGTTGAGGGTTTATGCCCTAAACCCTAAACCCTAAACCCTAAACCCTAAACCCTAAACCCTAAACAACACAACAATTTCAGTTACATCGGTGGGATCTTCGATGAAGCCCTCCAGTTTCCCAGAGCTTGAGCCCCCACCGGGTTCTTGCACAAGGAGATGCACGACGCAAAGGTGAAATGAAGGCGGCCGCCGGGTGGCACGCTTCAGTGCTAGGGTCTGGGTGCGACTTCATACAAGATCTTGGCCCTGAGTATATTTGCAAAAGGGTTCTCAAACAGGTGTTACAATTGAGGGTCTGGGTAATGTCTTTGTAGGGGTTCCAAGGCAGGATTTGGTAATTACACCCAAAGCCCAAATTTTCCTGCCTGAAGCTCATCGCGACATGCCCGTTTTCAGGAGGTGTCTTTAGATGAGCCCAATCTATTCTTGGTGTAGGCTGCTAGGGCTGCTCGATTAAGATTCGTGTCCCACGCAGCATCTGCAGGTTTTCTAGAGGGGGTTGGTTGGGCTTATGTTCTTGCGGGGTCGAGGGTTGGGGGTTAAGTAGGGCCTTGTGCTTGAAGGTTTGTGGGTAGTTCCTTATGTGATTACAAGTTACAAGTGATATAGGATATAGGAAGTTCCAAGTGCAGTTACCCTCGTGAGCATAAACCTACTTACTAGCTAAGTCCCCTGATCCTCTAAGTTAGGGCCAGTTACGGTAGAAGCCAGAAAGTTTGAACATCATAATCCCCATGCCCTTAAGGTAAAGTATAAGGGATCCTAGCACTAATCCTCCTAAATCCATGTTCCAACTTTCTGGGGTTCACTATAAGGGCTACGGATTCTGGGTTTGAGGTTTGAAGCTCTTCGGTTCGGATGTGGATGGGGCGTGCTCTTCGAAAATAGCTTACAGTTCATTGGGACCAAAACCCTTAACCCATGCCCGAATTTAGTCTCAATTCACTTCCTGGTGAACCCTAAAATCCCCCAACAAGTCTATTTGAAGCTTCGTGGTGGTTGTCTAGGACAGTGTTTCACAGCGTGCCGCACGAGGCGGCATTTTCTGCAAGTCCCCTGCCAATTCTGCCAGCAGGGGTGCCGGGGAGATCTGGGCAAAGTGTATGAACGGTGAATGATGTTGACTGCTTGGTACAGTTTCAGCTTGTGGGTGTATGTCTCAGGGTCAGTTCCCAGGTAAGTGTCTGAAGTGCTAGGCTGCTATACCGCTAGTCAGAGGAGGTTTGGGGGTTTTGCCGAAAGGATGTGGGAGCTTACATTCCCACTGCCTAAGGATTTGTTTGAGTCACTTGCCGATGGTGGTGCTCTCTTCTTGAGCTGACTATAAAGTCGAGACATGGGTATGTTCCTGAAGTGTCAACTGGATCACCGTTCATACGCGCGCATGAGCAAACCTCCGTTCGCCGACGTAGGAGTGAGCTGCATTAGTCTGGTTTTCTGGTGTTGGTCCTAAGGGCGGATAAGCTACTACCAGTATTCCTTATCAGCGTCCTGCAGCTGGGTATAATTACTTCAGTTAGTATACCCCAGACCCTATTTTGGTCAATAATGCCAGAGACGTGGCCACGTGTTGTTGTGTTCACGGCCCTGGCGCACGTAGTTGCCGGCGGGATGTGGTGCAACTTCGCAGAAACAAGTTGTCCGACCTTTTGGGAGGTACGTGTCCAGAGAAAGCTTTCACCACGCGCGGGTCCTAAGCCCTAAACACCTTGTTTTCTCTTGACACTGCCCGCGCCAGTGAACAGTTTTTGGGAGTCTGAGAAAATGAAGGACATAGATCCTCAACGAGGGGATCCTCATTCTCAGGACCTCTACCAAGCTACCTCTAGTTGGCGGAGCCCTCCACCCCCTGTAGTATAAGTATTTGTTCGACCCCCTTTGAGTTATGACCCTACATCCCGAACACAGGGTTCCCTAATCGCGGAACCTCTTGCTTAACCACGATTGAACAGTTCAAGGTTGATTCAGGGCTTCTTCTTTGGCTTCCGCTGTTTATAGCGCCCTGTAAAGTGTCATTGGATGGAATCAGGGAGGCGCTCACATCCATTGCACGTTTCCTACGCAAGAAACGAGAGGTTTGGCCCAATATGCCTGACTCAACATGGGCCTCTTCTGCGACACTATCTGCTGTCGAATACTTGAACTATATAACCGGATGCCCTAAGCCCCACATCTCAAACGAGAGTTTTCAGTGCATAAGAAGTCGTTTGGAGAGGCCCTTGTCTTCACAGCAATATCTTGGCTGTGGTGTTGTTCTTCGCAGCCGAAATCTGTGTCAATCAGTCTTCAAATTCACATCTGCATCGACCTTCGTTCTCCTGCACTGGCTGGTCGACGAAAAAAGGTCGCATGCGAGCTCACGCTGCAAAGGGTCCGGAAGCTGTCAACTCATGCATGCAATCCAGAAGGCACCTAAGGAAGTAAGCCGCTTGCTCTACCTTATTTATTTCTGCCCAAACTCGCCTTATCCTGCGATGTTGCCTTTCGGTTTAGCGTTTCGGGAAGTCTTCCCGGTGTACGGCGTGCCTCGGCAGTCATGGCGGAGACCTCAGCTGAGGGTTGAGCCACTACTGCTGCTGAGCTACTATGTACTTATACCAATACTACCGCTCTGCTACTACTACATACTCAACGATCACCACCACAAGACCAACACCACCACAAGCAGCAATAACAGCAACAACAATCAGCAGCAACAACAACAACAACAACAACTACTACTACAGTGTACTACTACAGCTACCACTACCACTAGTACTAGTGCGACCACTACTACTAATACTTTTACTATTGCTACTACAACGACTACTCTACGACTAGTACGACTACTACGACGACGAGTACTACTACTACTACTACCCAAGTCGTCCGGTTACCCAATATATGGGCAACCAGGTCAAGAACCAAGATGGTCAGTAACCGAAACAAATGTCCAGGAACCAATATGTCATTTTGGCTTGTTTGAGGTCTAGGTGGTTCCTGATGGCTTGTTTTCATGAGTTCTTGCAAGCAACAGCTTAAAACAGTACGTGTTTGTATGGCTTTAGCAAGTAGATATCCAAATTACATACATGTTGGCCTGGAGTTGCCCTGGCAATGTACACTCTTGAGCTTCATTCGAGGCGAAGCTGCCAGTTTTCTGCTTTTGCAGGACTGATCAAGCTGGCATGTGTGTCACATATTAGCAGTGGTTGCAAGTTGCATGAGAAGCAGATCCACCTGTCCTGTATGACGTTTGAGAAGTAGTCGTATATTACATAGCTGTAATACCTGTCCTGGCATGCGCCGTGCCATCTTTCTGGGCAAGAAGCAGAGTGCTTGTGGTGCGACCCCGACCCGTGCTTGTAGATTGCTGTGTCATTGCAGTGCATTGCATCTTGACTGTGTTTGCAACTTGCAAGAGCTGATAGGGGTCGTCGTGTTGCAATCAAATGCAGACGAGGGCTGTGCTGTACTGCAGGCATTGGCACAGCTTTGCTTTAGCAGGCGTTGCAGCAGAGTTTTGAAGCCACCATGGCTTCTGTTGAGCCGGAGCCCCATGATGGATCTCATGATCAGGAGGGAGATTCTGAGACTCATGGCTGCCTTAATTTAGCCCCAAAACCCAGCCCGCAAAGCCGAATCTTTTCCCCAGAAAGCCCAATATGGTCGCCAGCCAAGGGTCAAGTTCCTCGTGGGCCTGTTGCTTGAATGGCAAGCACAGCCCTACCCGGGGGACGAACATGAAAGAAGCCGTGGCCGAGTAGCTCGGGAAACCGAGGCAGCCCCCTAGGGGTTGTCGTGCTGTTGTTCGGCGCTGCTGGTGAACATATACAGTACTAGCTAGCTAGACTCATGATCAGGAGCACCCAATGATGGTCCACCACAGATTCATGTGCGACGAGGCCGTGGAGGATGTCTTCACTCCTTTGTCGCACTTATTCTGTGTTCATGGCTGTAAGATTCCTGGGATTTCGAAATTCCGAGCAGCTGGGCTAGAAAACATGGTCGATTCCTGAAGGTGCACATCTCATCTCATGCATGTACAATAATTATCATATGGTAGCAGCTGGTAGCAAAGGATGCTTTCAAAACCGTCAACGACGAGATCGGCATATGGCCCAGCAAAACGAAGAAGAAAGTCGTCCAGGACCACTTTTCCTTTGCCATGCATGTGAACAGAGGTATATGTATTGCATGTTCATCTACAACACTGCATGCAACTGCAGGAATGGATTGATCTCTGCGCCGGGTGTTTGCGAATGCGAGCCTGCTACGCGGTGCGGTTGTGGCGAAAAACTCCACATCGTTCCAGGATACATATATGTGGTGCCTGCCCTCACTTGTGCCGCTAGAACGTACCCACATAACACATCCCTGGCATGCACCTTTCCAGGAGCGGCAAGATACAGCTCCTCAAGGACTTGCTGACACATGTTTGCGGTGAGCCAGCCGGTGGAAGGACGCCTGGCAACACAGATGACGAAGGGGATGCAGCAACTCCAGCTGCTCCTTCGGCTGCGACTGACGCGGAGGAAGGTGCTGGTGCGTTCACAGCGCCAGCCGAGCCGGAGCCGCCGCTGCATCCTGCAGTCATCTATACCGATAACATGGAGACGCAGATTGCTGTTGACATGATGGATGCTGCCTACGAAGAAGAAGAGGAGGTAGCATTGTCGGATGCTACGACATTGGTGCTTGGTGGGCCCTACAGGGACCCGGTGCTCGATGGAGAGCCCTTGGATGACGCGCCGGATGGTGATGAGGTGCAGGATGCGCAGTCTTTCCACACATGCATGTGCAAACTAGTACGCAATCCGAGGTTGTGCTTGGAACATGTACGTGTATAAGTTGTCCTGGTCAGGACTCCGGAGAAGCTGCTTCTGAGGCAGTTGAGGACAGAGATTTCGCCCGGGTACACAGGGTGGAGTAACATTGCCTTTTGTTGGGTTTTCGAGTTCAGGAGTTTGCAGAAGTGGCAGCTCGGGAGGTGTGTTTCTTTAGGAAAGGTGGGTTGAAATGTCTTGTGTGGCCAGGACTTTGATGCTGGTCTGTCCAACGACGAGCCATTGAAGGACAGATGTTTGGGATGAGGCTCACGTTGCATGTTTTTTGTTCATTCTGAGCAGGATCTGGGTGAAGCTGGAGAACCCTCAGCAGAGACGCCGGAGGACAGAAGTGCCATTATGTTTGATCGATGAACAGCTAGCTAAGTCCTTTGCCGAGGATGCTGTTGAAGCTGGAGTGCCAGCACATGAGGTCCGAGCTCGTCGGTACATACAATAGACATAATACATATACACATGTTTTGTCCCGATCAGGATCATGATGAAGCTGGAGCGCTAGCAGCACAGGCAGCAGAGGACACCCGTTTCACAGAAGCTTGCTCGTGGGATTGATTTGCAGTGGCAGTCCGGTGAGGATCCGGGTGAACTTGGAGTCGTTGCAGCAGAGCCCACAGAGGACATTCGTTTCATAAGCCTTGTTTGCGAGTGTTGACACACATGCTGCTTTTTGCATTCCCGTGAGGATCCGGGTGAATCCATGTTGGTGGGAGCAGATCCAGCCGAGGACACTTGTTTCGTGAAGACTTCTTTCCCTAAGCTGTGTTGCGCATTCCGGTGAGGATCTTCCTGACACTGCTGGAGTGGTTGCAGCAGAGACAGCAGAGGACGCTCAGGACATGTGTTGCAAGGAAAGGCTTGTTTGGCCTGTTCCGGTATATATATATATATATATATATATATCCATACACATGTATATATAAAATTTACTAGCACTGCCGCGAGGATCTTCATGAAACTGGCCATGGAGTGGTTGCAGCAGAGCCAACGAAGGATGCATGTGTCATGAAGCCTTGTCTGGAGTGTTCCTAGATTTTGTTTTCGGGAATTCCGACAAGGAGCTTGGTGAAGCTGCATTGGTCGCAGCAGCAACTGAGGACACGTGTTTCAGTGAAGCCTTGTTGTGAATGTCCCTGTATGCATCCTTTCTATACCACGAGGATCCTGATGCAGCTGGAGTGGTTGAAGCACAGCCCACACAGGACACAACTGTCATGGAGCCTTGTTTGGATTCTTTACAAACCGTGGTCAAGAGGATTCGGGTGAAGCTACAGTGGTTGCGGCGCAGGCAGCAGAGGACACATATCACACATGTTTCATGAAGACTAGCAGTGCAATAGTTGTATTGAAGGAAGGTGTATACTGCCTTGCATTCCTACAGGATCTTCGTGAAGCTGGAGTGGTTTCAGCAGAGCCCACAGAGGACGAAAGCTTCGTAAGGCATTGTTGGCAGTGTGCAAGGAAGTTGCTTTGTGTTGCGATGAGGAGCTGTGTGAAGCTGGTGTGGAGTCTGCAGAACCAACAAAGGACACATGTTTCATGAAGGCTTGATTGGACACTTGCATTTGCATGAGATGAGGATTTCTGTGAAGCTGCTGCGAAGTCAACAGAGCCAACAGAGGACACATCTTGTGTTCAAGTGCTCGCTTTCAGTAGCTGTGAGAAGTCTGTTGAGGATTTCTGTGAAGCTGCTGCGAAGTCATCAGGGCCAACAGAGGACACATTTTGTGTTCAAGTGCTCGCTTTCAGTAGCTGTGAGAAGTTTATTGAGGATTTCTGTGAAGCTGCTGCGAAGTCATCTGAGCCAACAGAGGACACATCTTGTGTTGAAGTGCTCGCTTTCAGTAGCTGTGAGAAGTTTGTAATTGCACTGCGAGGTTTCAGCTGGGCATCTTAGTCGCTCGTGTGACAAGGAGCCTGGGCATGGTTTTCAACGTAGTTTACCGCAATTCCTGTATGATTGTGGGAGGATCGGGAGCCACTTGTGAAGAAGCCGCCGAATCTCCAACGAACTGTTGCATCCTTGGACCTGCACCTTGCCCGGGGATCCTCCTCAGAGGATACCGATCTCGTCAAGGCTCAGCAGAAGATGTGCCTTGACTCCACACACATGTATGTGTACATTTGTAGAATGTGCCACAATGCCGTCAAGTTTGAGTGTACATGTACTATGCGACACGGTGAGGAAGTGGGCTATGCAAGAAGAGGAATTGCCTGAAGATGCTACTGTCCAGCCTGGCCGGGGCCGTGGCCGGGGAAGGGGCCGGGGACGGGGAAGGGACAAAAGCAAGCAGTGTTCACGAGATGCCACGAAGGGTCCAGATCCGGTTGTGCAGAAGAAGGAATGCAGTGGCACGCAGCAGGATGATCCGCAGGTGGGTGCTGCAGATCCGCAGGAGCAAGCGGAGCTCAAGACTTCCCCTGTGAAGAAGAAGCCTCGCTCCAAGACCAACAAGGGTTCAGGAAAAGGCAAGCAGGATCCAGATCAAGCTGAGCAGTCGCAGGAAAGCAGTGCGAACAAGCATGCAGCAGCGGTTGATGCAAATCCAGAGCAGCAGGAGACGGAGCCCAGGACTTCCCCCGTTAAGAAGAAGCCTCGCTCCAAGCGCAATTGCAAGGGTTCAGGAAAAGGCGAGCAGGAGCCAGACGCAGCTGAGCAGAAGGCACGCAAGGATGATGCAGTACAGGTTGCTGCGAATCCACAGCAGCAAGAGAC